TTGTATCCTCACGGTGATCTCAGTCGTTGAAACTTCACATCGTGAGCGCGCCCCAGTCCAACCTCTTGCTGAGCAGTGTGTGTGTGTGTGTGTGTGTGTGTGTGTGTGTGTGTACGAATGCCCATGAGAAAAATCTACTCAGACAAGGATAAAGATGGCTCCTCATAGGACATTTACTCTAGGGGACAACTCAGAGTGCCAGGCTGGTGACCTTGGGGAAGGCTACACAGTGGGCTGGTGGGTTAGGGTTAGGGTGGTGAAATCAGTGCCTCCCCTGTTGCCCAGGGTTACAGACAAACTGAAAAATGTACTTGCTGGGGGTAGGTGTTGAGGGACCCAGTCCCAGCACTGGCTCAGCTGTGACTGGGAGATTTGGTGTGGCTCAGGCTGAGCCGAGGACCTCCTGCAGTGGGGCCAGGTGTCCCCATGAGCGGCCAACACTCAAGTTCACTTTTAGGGGTACCTGTTGGGTGACAACCAGATGTGAGCCTCAGGGAAGGGCCAGTTGTGCCCAGCTGTCTCCCAGGCCCACATGCAGGTGGAGGAGGTTGCAGTATGCAGGGGCATACCCCTTCACAGATGGAGCAGCCGCACACAGATGCACACGTGGACATACAAACACACACATGCAAACCACATTGCCCTGGGGCAGGCTCACACCACAGACACCTGCCATGCTTCAGCCAGTGAGCAAGCCTGCAGGGTTCCCAGACAAGGTACCCTTAGTACAATCTGTGATCACCCCTCAGGGCCCTGACTCTGGGAATCGCCAAGTTAAAAGGTTCCAGGGGTCTGAAGACCCATGCTTGATGGGCTTTGCCCACAGCCTTAGACAGGAGAAAGAGGCCAACCCTCAGCTATAATTTGTCTCCCATGGCTCTGTTCCTGGAGAGGGCCTGGCAGCTGAGATATGGATTCCTGGGCTTCAACCCCCTATCCCAGCACCTACTTTTCTGCCTGCCACAGGCATAGGCTTTATGGACTACCTCAGGGGCACAGTGGGCACAATACAGGAGCTACTCCTTGACCTGCAGGTGCCACCTATCTTACTGCCCTGGTGTGCAGCAGGGTGTCTCATAAAGTGAGGGTTGAGCAGGTCAGAGCCTTTCCTAGGAAGGCCTCAGAGGACTACATGTGAGTAGAGCCAAGGCTACCCCTGGGAGTTAGCCAGGCTCTGTGGCCCTGCTTGGCTCTAAGATGCTAACTGGGCTGGATTCTCTCCTGAGTGGCAAGATGTGTCTCTGGTACCATCTGTGTTGCTCTGCAGGCTTCAGGGCCTCCCAGCTTATGAACCCCATTCCATTGTCCACATTGCTCTGGAGGAGCTTGCATGGACCCACCCAGAAGTCTTTTCTTGGCAAGGACCCAGAGCTGCTTCCAAGCAGTGCTCAGCCAGGTACAGTGTGGGCCTGTGTTTGGGTACACCCTGGGGTGTACCTGGGGTAGGTGGGGCCTTAGTGTCCATACCCTCAGTGAGGGTGAGCCTCAGGAAAGGGGTTCAGCCCCTGCTCAGAGGAGAAGCAGCAGATATCCATGGTAGTGTCTTACCAGATATCAGCCAAGTCATCCAGCAGGAAAGGGGCTCCTCGGTGGGGGAGTGGGGAATGGAGGCGGGCAAGGCAGCAGCCCTGGTGCACAGGACTGGGGTCTGCCTTCTATTCTTGTCCCCCTGCCCCTCGGTGAGTGGGACCCTCTTGCCCACCCAGACTGAAGGCCACAGCAGGGAGGCCAAGCAGAAGTCCCCTCACCTGCAACTGCAGTTCCAGGGTCTGCACCTGCTGCAAGGACTCCATGATGCCCCTGACGAGAGCTAGAACAGGAAAATAGTAGCTTGCAGGCTGCCTGGGTCCAGGGCTGGTCAGCCTCCTGGCCTCCAGGCCCCAGGAGTAAAGGACAGAAAAATCTTCAGGCTCAGTCCCACCCTGGCCACAGTACCTGATTGTTTCTTGGGTCTGTAAGGTCACCCAAACCAAGTGGTCAAGGGCCTTGGTCTCATGTAGCCTCAGAGCTGGTTCAGCGCCTAGTTGCCGCATCCATGGCCTAGGATGCAGCTTGAAGGTCCCTCAACGCAACCTTCCTCCCCACCACACTGAGCTGGCTGCATCCCTCCACCTTAGCGCTCTCCGGTAGAGGACGTCCAGCCGAGGTGGGTAAGTACTGTGCCCATACTGCCAGGTCTGGCTATGGTGCTGAGGCTAGGAGTAGGCACCAGGTTACACTGCCTAGTCAGAGTAGTCTGGGCATGGAAGACCACAATCCCTGCTGCTTCTGGCTAAGGTCTGCTGTGCTTGTCACACTTGTGAAGGTAGCTTTGTGGCCCTGACAGAGGTCCATCTTGGTAGCTGGGATCATCATCTCTCTAGACTCTCCAGTGGTCTAGGTGGAGGATCAGTCATTTATCATGACAGCTCATGATTGCTTTGGAGCTCTGGGCATCTACCTGCTCTTTCCAGGGACACCCGACCAAACCGGCATCTCTGCCAGCTAGGAGGGGCCTTGAGGGGCACACAGAGGAAAGGGGGCTTCAAGGAGATGGCAACTCTTCTAACTGTGGGAGAACACTGCCCCCATGCTCCCCTGGCTCACCTGCAAACTCAGGGATCTGCGCATCTTCTACTTCAAACAGCAGCTCGTCATGAATTTGGGCAACTAACCTGGAGAGGGAGAAAATCACTTGGGGGTATGGACATGGGGACTTAGGCTTATCCTTCAAAGTTCCTGGAAGGTTGGTTGGCACCTGGTACTGAAAGGATGTGGTTATGGGGAATGAGCATGGCTAGCCTGGGTGCTATGGCCCTGGGTCACCCACCGTCAGCAGACAGCTCCAGGAAGTGGGGAGAAGGGGCCATAAGAGATGGAGAAATAACTCTAGTGAGCTGTCTAATCCCTGACCAGGTCGAGCATGTCATGCTCTTAGAAGTCTGGCAGGGTGGGGGAAGAGCTCCCTGAAAGGTGCAGCGCACATGGGGCCTTGATGTCCCCTCCCCTTCCCTGGTCATAGGATGTGATGGTGACCTGCGGGTATGGGGGAGTGCTGAGGTAGGTTAGGAGAGTTACTCCTGCTGTGAGGAGTAGAAATAAATCTGGAGTGTGGTGAGAGCACACCTTCAGCTTAGCAGAAGCGATGGGGCAATCTTTTAAAATTCAACAGAATTTAGAAACTCAACAGAATTCAGAAAACATCAAAATTCAAAGGTACAAAACCATACCAGGTATGGGGTATTTGGGATGGGCAATCCAGAACTAGACATGCAATTTCAGTTGGTGCATGGAGGCCAGATAATCTGGGTACCAAGTCACAGCTCCAGCTGAACTTGGCTTCATGGGTTGCTCTAGGGCCCACCTTCCCCAGTACCCTTCCCCATTACAGCAGGACGACTCGGGGAGCAGTGCACTGCTGGGCAAGGGTGTCAAGCAGGCCTTACAGATTCAGCTAGGGGAAGGGGACCGGTACAGATGTGCACAGGATGAGACATGGAGTGCTGGGGACATCTGAGCACTCAGCTCACAGATCCATGTTGGCATGCAGAGCATGTGCCAGTTGCCACAAACCTAGAAACCCCTTGGAGGGTATGATCCTGGCCAAGTTCTCTAGGCAGACACCTTAAAGTCCTTGTGTATGCACAGCCCTCAGACATAGTGTTTGCCCTTCTGTGGGGTGTACAAGTTGCTGGCACTCAGGGATGGGGTGTGTGGTACAGGTGACTCAAAGAATGGTCACAAGCACCTCCAGCCCCCTGAGACGAGTAGGGCATGGATGGGTCCCATGTGCTCTGTCCTCTGTGGTCCTGGCTCTGTCTCCTGGATAGGACTCCAAAGGGCAGCAATCAGTCACATCCCATCTGTCCTCCCTGGTGTCTGCCCCTCACCCCTCCTGGACACCTGGGAGCTGAGGCTGCACAGGGAAGGTGTGACAAGACTCCCCAGTCAGTGCTCATGGGATGTGTTAGTAAACCCTGGCTAGAAGGAGGGAGCAGCCTTCAAATGCCTATGCAGAGAGTGAGACCTACGGTGGCCTGCCCATCAGCCTTCCTCTCTGTCACCTCTCTGCTGTTAGGTGGGGAAGGGAGGCGGCTGTGTTCCTAGCATACACCACATCTCCTCTAAGGTGGTGTGGCCCAGAAGACATCTATTTTCCAACTTTCAGGAAGGTTCTTAAAGGGCTACCTTGGCTATGGGGCAGATACTCTTTTGATCATCACTACCTTCCTTTTCCTGGAAGGTGTAACTTTCAAAGCCGTAGCCCCTATCATGGCATCAAGAGGGAAAAGCCCTGAGCTTCTAAAACAAAGCCATCAACCACTGTGCCCTGGCCTTCCCTGGGAGAAACACTGTATACCTTTGCATCCCAAGCTGCTACAGCCAGGCCATTGTTACTGGAGGCCAAGTGCATATCCTAAAGGTTGTCATGCGGTGGTGTCATGCTGGGCCCAGACCAACTGTCACAGGGAGGTATGTCCTGCCCCTGGCCAAGGCATCAGCATTACCCTTACAGAAGTCAGACTGTGACAGGACATGGCAGGGACCAAGTTGTGGCATGGCGTGTGTTTTCTTAAACTAATGTCAAAGTGTCTGGCAGGTCTTGGTTCCGAAAGGGCTTACTTTTCAAATGGGCAGAAACCTCAGACGAGGCACTTGTAACTCTTTCCAGATTTAGCAGAAACGCTTTCGCACTTTTTGATATCACACAGTGCAATATGAGCTGCCGGTGTGGCAGGACCTAAGAATAGGTGTGACTGTTAGTCACTCACACATCACTCTCACAGCCACTGAGACACCACACTTCTCATTGGGAGCTGGAGCACAGGAGTGAGCTGGGGCAGCAGAGGAATTCAGGCTCAGAAGCCTGGGCTCCCACGAAGGGACCCTATGCCTAGGGGACTTACTGTCTTGCTTCACAGAGGACACAGAGTGTTTGCATCAGGGTGGCCTGACTGAGGCAGACAGATCCTGGCTCCTTTGAGAGAACATTCCCGTCGGGGGCCTGTCAGGCAGCGCCTTCTTCCAGGGCACCCCAGCTGTGCTGAACCCTTTTGTAATTTCATCTTGGAGGAGCAGTTGTGTGTTGGTGCAAGGTAGGAGACTCTGGAGTGCTGGGTAGGTTCTATCTGAGTATAGAACCTCAGTTCTGGCTTGGTCCTACCTGAGTATAGACAAGGTGCAGGCTGCCTCAGTTTCTCCTTCTTTGTACCCCTGATTCAGACTGCCTATGCTCATCTTTTGGAAAGACATTGCTATCAGAGAGACTCCAAGCCTTTACACACTAACTTCTTTCACTAACTCCAAAAACAGTAACAGGGAGGTAACTTGCACGACTGCAGGTGCACAGTGTGTGGTTTTCAGCAGCTGCTGGGATGGGCCAGCGCAGGCCGTGTACATCCCCAATGAAGCTAGAATTTACCCGGGGAACACTGGGAACTGGCAGGACGTGTAGATTTCAGAAACCGCCGGGATGGGCCAGTGCAGGCTGTGTACATCCCCAATGAAGCTAGAATTTACCCGGGGAACACTGGGAACTGGCAGGACGTGTAGATTCAGCAGCTGCTGGGATGGGCCAGCGCAGGCCGTGTACATCCCCAATGAAGCTAGAATTTACCCGGGGAACACTGGGAACTGGCAGGATGTGTAGATTTCAGAAACCGCCGGGATGGGCCAGCGCAGGCTGTGTACATCCCCAATCCCCAATGAATTTACCTGGGGAACACTGGGAACTGGCAGGACGTGTAGATTTCAGAAACCGCCGGGATGGGCCAGCGCAGGCCGTGTACATCCCCAGTGAAGCTAGAATTTACCCGGGGAACACTGGGAACTGGCAGGACGTGTAGATTTCAGAAACCGCCGGGATGGGCCAGTGCAGGCTGTGTACATCCCCAATGAAGCTAGAATTTACCTGGGGAACACTGGGAACTGGCAGGACGTGTAGATTTCAGAAACTGCCGGGATGGGCCAGCGCAGGCTGTGTACATCCCCAATGAAGCTAGAATTTACCTGGGGAACACTGGGAACTGGCAGGACGTGTAGATTTCAGAAATGACAGGGAACCTGGAGGAAGTGCTGAGCAGATGGCAGAGGTTAACAGAGAAACCAGGTGGCCCAGTTTTGCAGTGTGCTCTCAGCTCTTGGCCATCTCCAGGACAGGGGTCAGCAGGACCATGGAGCTGGGCTCAACTGGAGTCTCAACACCTTCCCCGGAGTCCTGGGGCTCATTCAAGGGTAGGGAGCTTTGCCCCACAGTGGACTGTGTCCCACAGGCTGCATGTCCCAAGCTGCTTCTCTCCAGCAAAGTGCCTAAGAGCAGGGCAACAAGGGGCAGTGGCCAGCAGGGCTTGGAGCCGGGGGCAGCCTCTGACCCTTGGTTCCATGGGGCACCAATCCACAGTGCATGCACTCCTGAAAATCACCCAAGACACAGGTACAGAGTCAAAATGGACAGGGGAAGTATTCGAAGAAGTAACATTTTCAAAGGAAAAGTCCATGCCTTGAGCATGAATAATATTACAAGCCAAGAGAAAACTGTAAACTTGGTAAAGAGTTTCCACAGGCAAGTAGGTCTCCATGTCCCCAAAGCTCCTTGGGGCTATAGTGCAGGGGTCTACGAGACCCACTTCACATTTTAGGATCTAGGGAAGCTACCACCTCCCTCCAGGGGTGGAGTTCCTGACCCCCCTTAGGCAGTGACAAGGGTACCCTGGTCTGCACAGGACCATGAGAAAAGCTTGAGGTCTTTAGAGTGGGATGGGAAAACAGATGTGGGTGGAAGGAGCAGGGCTCTTTTAGCATCTGACACAACAGGCAGGGGTTCGAGTTCGGAATATTAGAAGTCTCATGAAGAGAGCGGGTGTCTAGGCAGCCGCCTACACTTAACACCGGGCTCTGTTTCCCTGGTGGAAGAGGTGGCTGGGGTGAGAGCTTCTTGTCTCCTTGCCACCCAAAACCTCAAAACATTCACCCCAGGGAAGCAATTAAGGCAGGTCAGACCTGTGAACTGTGGCTGGGATGGCTGGGGTGAAGTCCATCACCAAGGTGTGGTTGAGCCTGGTTCTAGGGACCCGGCTGCAGCAGCAGCAGCCTGTGGCAGGCCTGTATATTCATGTCTCAGAAGTGGGTGGCCAAGAGTTGTGTGCAATAGGCTGCATACACAATGAAGACCCCAGAGGGTTCAGAACATAGCGTTTCTTCCTTGATCTTCTGTGCCTGATCTGATAGAGGCCAGTTGTTACTGGTGCACCTGGCAGAGCAGGCCCTAGATTCGTGGCCAGGCTGAATGCCTCCAGAGGCTCAGACTCAAGAGGGACACTTTGCTCTGTGGCGGGTGGGTAGCCAGCACAGAGATCCCACAGGTGGGAGAGGGCTGAGGCCAGAGACTCCTGCACAGAGCAGCCACCCTCATCACAGCTGGGCAAAAGCTGGACCTGACAGACAGACTACCCCACTGACCTGGCTGTCAGGGTGGAGGAACTGGCTATGGCAGCGAAGATGTGGATCATGGCCAGCTTACAGAGGTCTGCAGCAGAACCTGTGGACACAAAGGGTTGTTTCAGGGTTTGAGGTGTGTGGCACACAGTGCCTGAGCTGCTATCACACGGCAATGTGACATTGCCTGTGGACACCGCTCACGATTAAGGAGTTTTGCAACTGAAAGCAAGCTGTGCCTCCTCAGTGCACCAGTGCTGCTTCCGTCTCAGGGCTGGGGCATGGAGCGGGCACATTGGCCAGGCCCTCGGGGTGGGAGGGAAGGGACTCAGCCTACATGTCAAGTAACCCATCTCTAAGGCTGTTTTGTTGTTGGCTAGGCTCCTGGGGACTCAGGTTCCTGGCTGTGGAGGGGAACAGAATGGCCTCCATGGGTCTTAGGGAAGATTCTTTTATTTTTATTTTTAATAGGGTCTGGTTATGTAGCCTAGGATGGCCCCAATTTTGTGGCAGTTCTTCTGCCTCAGCCTTTCAAATGCCCTACCATGCCCAGGCAACATGTCTTAAATATAGGAATGGCTCTGTGCTGAGCATCTGCCACCTCAGCTGTTGTGCCACTGCCAGGCAGGGCAGGTGAGGGCCAAGGCTCATGGGGAAGAGTTCCCAGCACATGAAGTACTATCTGCCAAACACCTGAGGAGCCACAGAAAGTGGCAGGCCGGGGGTTCTGGTACCTTGTACCACAAAGTTCACTGCCTGACGCTCTGCTTGTGCCCGGAGCTGTTGGTCCTGTGCGCAGATCCTCGGCAGGGGCCTCCTTCTACCCACAATGGATGTCACATAGCCTGGGTTCCAGGAAGGAGAAGCAGATGAAAGACAGAAACGGGTGACACAGCACCTGGTGGGAAGCCCTCCCCCCCATGTTGACTCCAGGTCTTCCCCAGGGCTGTCTGGCATGTTCCCAGGGAAGTTGGGGCCTGTGCAGGAAAGGGAGGGCCTGCAGTGGGATGGCCTCTGCCTGCCAGGTGTCAAGAGTCTACTCTGTCTTCTAGCTGCACTTAGATCTGACTCAGGACAAGGGAGGGCAGTTTTTATCCTAAAGTTCAAAGCCACATGTGAAGCTTGGGCACAGGAGCTATTCTGAACTGTGTGTCAGCTGGAGTACAAAGCAAGGCCATGTCCCCACATGAAGGCAGATCAGGTCTTCTGGGCCCTGAAGCCTATATGGCTTGGGGCTCTTAAGAAATGCACAGAAGGGGCTGGAGAGACGGTTCAGTGGTTAAGAGCACTGGCTGTTCTTGAAGAGGACTGTTGGGCCTTTGGGACCCTCATACACACGGCATGGAGGAAAATGAGGCCTAATATAATTTCATAAGCCAGGCTAAAGTTTAGCGACCTGTTTCTGGCCTGTCACTTCCATGTGGAGGTGACTCAGCAGAGCCCTATCTAAGATTGCCTCTGCCCAGTAACAACTGGCGTGGTAAATTCCCAGTGGCCCACAGTCTTCACCCCAGATGACACATTCCTATACCCACCCCCTTTTCCACACCCTCTTTGCTTAAACTATATAAGTTGATGCCTGACACAATAAAGTGAGTTCCTGCCTCGACAAGACTCCCAGCTCGGTGTGGTTTTTGAGTCGCCGACACTCACCATCCCGCTCAGCCCCTAAGAGAGGAACACAGGCTGGTCCTGGCCTCTCTCCCTGTGCCGTACCTGTCGGAGAGCGATCTGACAGAGGACCCAGGTTCGATTCCCAGCACCCACATGACAGCTAACAACCATCTGTAACTCCAGTTCCAGGGGGATCCAATGCCTTCTTCTGACTTCCATGGGCTTGCACACAAGCAGGCAATATACTCATACATATAAAATAGAAATAATAAATAAATTTTTAGGGGGTATTTTTGAGACAGGGTCTCCCTGTAGCCCCAGCTGGCCCAGAACTCACTACGTAGACCAGGCTGGCCTCGAACTCACAGAGATCTGTCTGTTTCTGCCTCCTGAGTGCTGGGATTAAAGGCGTGCGCCACCAATCCTGGCTAATAAAATTTTTTTTTTTTAAAAGAAATGCACAGAGCCAGGGGTGGTGGCACATGCCTTTAGTCCCAGCACTCAGGAGACAGAGGCAGGTGGATGTCTGTGAGATCAAGGCCAGCATTGTCTATGTAGTAAGTACCAAACCAACTGGGACTAGGGAGACCCTGTTTCAAAAAGCCAAAAAAAAAAAAAAAAAAAAAAAAAAAGGAAATGCACAGGGCTGGAGAGACAGCTCAGCGGTTAAGAGCACTGACTGCTCTTCCAGAGGACCCAGGTTCGATTCCCAGCACCCACATGGTGGGCATTGCAAGGCAGCGGTGCACTTGCACACATGCAGGCAATATACTCATACACATAAATAGGAAATACACAGAAGCACAGTGTTGGCTGTGTTAGTTGTACATGTTCCTGAGCAGTGAGGACTTCTGTTTAACTTGGTGAGGGTCAGAAGCAAATCCTCCACTAGTCTGAGGATTGGAAGAATTCCTGACATAAAATAATCTTTTTGTTGTTGCCGGGGTGCTAGGGACAGAATCCAGGATCTCTCACATGTTAGGTGAACACTCTACCACTGAGCTACACCCCAGTCTAAACATAATCATCATAGAGTAACAAGGTACTGAATACCTCCTCTACATGGTATGCAGAACAAGGACAGGATGCTGGGCTGACTCAGCACATTTAGTTCTCATGCCTTCACATGTCCATGGCTTCTGCCTGCATGCTGGGCAGTCAAGAGTTGTGCCCCATGGCTGTACATCTACCAATGAGCCCTGAAGGGCCTAGGGCATACCATTTCTTCTTCGTGTTCTTGAGCACAGGTGTTGCTGTCCTTGGTCTGAGACCTTCCTGCTGGCTGCTCTCCTGCCCTGTGCTTGTGCCTCCAGGCGTGGGCACCTATGGAACTCATGTCATCTTTTATTCTCTCAGCAACCACAGCAATAGACTGCCCACTACGGAGAGCCAGAAACTACGGGTTCACACACTTTGCCCTGTTTCTAGTTTTTATGGAATGATCCCACTGTGGTTCAAAGTGGGTGTCACTTGACTACACGTTTCAAACATTGCTCCCTCTCGCCCCCTGCAGTTCTTCTAGGTGATCACAGTTCCTGCTCAGTACAAGAGGACTGAGCCCTGACCTTCTGCACTGGTGCCCAGGGTGGAAGCAATGCTTCTGGAAGCCATGCACATGTTAGGAGGTGAGGTGAGCCATGGGAAGACCAGCACAGGAAGTGGCTACCTCAGCTCCCTCTTGGTTGGATTAAACATGGCTGTGGCCCCTCCAAGGCCACATGGCACAGGGAGGAGAGAGGTGAGGGGTAGGAACCTGGAGCACAGTTGAGAGAACTTTTTTTTTGTTTTGCATCAGATATGACTGAGAACAGGCTGTGGGCCTCCCTGGGGGCTTTGGGAGCAACTGGTATCTTAAGTCTGTTTGGGCCAGGGAAGGCAGAGGGCACAGATTCTTGAGAGCCGGAACCTGCTTGTACTGGCAGCCAGGAGTACTTGGACCTGGGCCTCCCTGATATCTTCTTGACTGGCCATTACCTCCTTGGTATCTGTCATTCTCCCTTCATACAACTCTGCTCTTGAGCGAATGCCCCCACTACTTCTGGATTGTTCTTGGCTTGTGGCTTTGGACTCAGACTCCCCTGATCTCTTTCTCTTCTATTATTTATTTATTATTATTGTTATTTTATGTGTATGAGTGTTATGCCTGGATGTGTGTAAAGTGCACCCATGTCATGTAATGCCTGTAGAGGTCAGAAGAAGGTGTTTGATCTCCTGGAACTGGAATTATGGATGGTTGTTAGCCGCCATGTGGGTGCTGGGAATTGAAACTGGCTCCTCTATAAGAGCAAGGTAGTGCTCTTAACTGCTGAGCCATCTTTCCAGCCCCTTCCCCTGATCTCTTTCAACACTATTTTGTTTAAAGACAAAACGTCCATGTGGAGTGCCATGCATGGGGCTTGACCCAACCCATCTGTTCTCTGATTTGTGCACCTGCCCAGGTCTCCCCACCTGCTCACACTGGGCACTTCCTCAGACCCTTCCTGATCTTTCAAGTTCTGACCATGGTCCCCTCCTCAGCAAGGCTGTGGCTGGCAGCTGTTCTGGGGCTTCTCTCTGCCCGTGACCCAGGTGTTCCTGTAATCTCTGTTGTCTCCAGGGCTCTGGCTCACTTGTGTTCTCCCTGTCTCCCCTGAGCAGCCTGAGGCCTCCTGGATGCTGGGGAATGGCTGAGAGGTTTGGAAGACTAAGGAGCTGCTGTCCTTGGTCACATGGTGCCTGGCATATGCCAGGCATCCTGCAAGCATCTGCCAATGACTCCACATGCTTTGAACACTTATCATCCACATCCATTCAAGAAAGTGAAGTGCAGGAGGGGAGGTGGTGTGTAATACTGGGGAAGAGCAACAGGGGCTGTGCTCACACCTGCTGGTCGTGTGACACGGCAGCATACCCTCCCAGGTGACTCATTTTATCTGCTGTGAAATGGGGGCAGCACTAAAACTCACTTCTTAGACAGTGAGGAGCACATGAGTCGCTTTCTGGAAACAATTTAAAAATCACTCCTGGGGCTGGAGAGATGGCTCAGCAGTTAAGAGCACTGGTTGCTTTTGCAGAGGACCCAGGTTCGATTCCCAGCACCTACATGGCAGCTAACAACTGTCCTAACTCCAGTTCCAGGGGATCTGACACCTTCTTCTGACCTCTACAGGCATCGCATGACATGGGTGTACTTACACACATTCAAGCAATACACTCATATGCATGAAATAAAAGAAATAAAATATTAAAAATCACTCCTGGTGCACAATCAGCACTACCCAAACATCTGTATCATAATTGTAATCCCATTTACAGCATCTGAAAAGACCTTGGTTTCATAGACTCTCATCAATACCAGGTACTAGCACTGCTTCAGTATGACAAGATAGACAGCATGTTCATTTTGGTTAGAGCAGCCTGAGGCCTACTGGATGCTGGTAGATAACTACGGTGAACAGAGGCTTAGGAACTCAAATTCTGAGTGTGCTGGGGGCTCACAGAGGCTCCGTTATGGGCCAGCGGAGGTGACTAGGCACTGATGTTGCCTGATGGTCTGCTAGCAGGATGAGGACCAGCCTGTAACAGGCGGCCCAGAACTTACCGGGCACAGGCTCCAGGTTATAAGCTCCTGACAGAAGAGTCCCTGAGAGAATGTGGGACTACAGGTGTTGCCTGGACCTGGAGGTACATGGATCCTGCCAGGCCAATTAGTTTTTCATTTTTTATACAGTAAGTATTGACTTTTTTTTTTTAAGTTATAAGTGTTTTGCCTGCATGTATGTAAGTGAACTTGTGTTGTGCAATGACTGTGGAGGTCAGAAGAGAGTGTCAAATCCCCTGGAACTGGAGTTACAAATGGTTGTTAGCTGCCATGTGGGTGCTGGGAACAGGAATGCTGGTCTTCTACAAGAACAGCCAGTGCTCTCAACTCCTGAGCATCTCTCCAGCCCTAAGTGCTGACTTTTGAATGCTGCCTCTCCCTAATTCCTAATCCATCCTGCTGCTTGTTGGTCAGCAGCTGTCCCGTTTACTCCCTTCCTTCTTTGATTTACTCTGCTACTCTTTTCTAATTGTTTTGTGTTGAATATAACTCATTCATAGTCATAAATTTCTTTTAGGGGTTAGGAGAGATGGCTCAGCGTTTAAGAGCCCTGGCTGTTCTTGCAGAGGACCCAGGTTCGAATCCCAGCACCCACATGGCAGCTAACAACCATCCATAACTCCAGTTCCAGGGACTCTGACACCCTCTCTGACCTCTGTGGGCAGTGCATGGCACAGGCAATACTCTCATACACAAAAAATCAAAATAAATAAATTTAAATAGAATACTCTTTAAAGCATTCTTTTATTTCCAATTAAAGCATCGGTGTGGCCAAGTTTCATGGTTTTGTGAGATAATTTTACTATCATTTGTTTTAAAAATGCTGTCCTTTTCTTGGGATGTCTTTTTTAAAGTCATAACTAACAGGATTGAGACACATTCCAGATAAGTGTTTGGATGGAAGCCGCACTCACAGAGCATGTGCACACCTGCCCTCCTGTTGTTGTGCTGATAGACCTGCTCTGCTTTACCTTTTGGAATCTGTTTGGGTTCCTTTAGTGACCAAATTGTGGAGGTACTGGAGCACAGGCCTTTCGCAGGCATATACTGCTCCCCTTGCAGATTCAGGGTTTGTCTGTCTGGTTTACCTGTCTGTGCGGCTGTCATGTTAGCTCAGGCTTCTTCGTTTTGCTGCTGCAGATGGAGCCCTTCACACGGAGAGTCTTTCAGTCCTGTTTATTCAGCAGGAGCTGATGGCTCTCCCAGCTACCTCTACACAGCGTCAGTGACCCATGCACACACCACCCACTTGTCTGTTCATCTGCACAGCCACAGAGCCAGGGGCTGTGTCCCCTGGAGGAGGAGGGACCAAGCTGTAGCTGGCTTACCTGTATGGTGACACTGGGCAATGACTGTCTGGGAAAAGTCCTTGATTTTCTTGTACTTCTGCAAAAACCCCTCTAAAAAGTGGGTGGCTTCCAGAACAGTAACTCCAAGGCAAGCAGCAAGCCGCTCCTTCCCTGTGAATCAGCAAGACATGTGATCAGAGTCCAGGTCCAGCACACATTAGGTGAGCTAAGGGTACCAAGAACATGGCTCCAAAGAGTGGCGAGTGCATGAAATGAAACAACGTAGGCCTCAGGGAGCAGGTGGCAAATCCGCCTCCAGCGGCGCCGTGAGCCTCATCTGCTTTGTTTGGGGCACACTGGCTTTGGGCTTTACACACTGGGTGCTGGGTGCCGTTCTCCTGGATGGCACAGTTCAACGTGTTCTTTCTCAGCAATGGCGACTATCTGCCAGGGACTGCAGGGTGAGGTTGGGAATGAGGCAGACATCGTGCTGCTTGCAGCCTGGCCCACGGGAGATCTGCATGCAAAACCAGGGGAAGCTACGGGAGAGCCCAGAGGAAGAGAGGAAGGCAGAGTGTGTGCCAAATGTGGGAACGCGCTTGTCAGGAGTCCTTATGTTTAGAATTCTTGTTTTGGCCTAGGCTAATATTTTGCTCTTGAAAGAGGCAGGGTTCTTGTGAAGCCGCTTCTGGAAAGGTCACTGGTGGAGGTGGCACCCTGTGTTAAGGCACAACATATAAGCTTCCTGCTTGCTGGGTGCAGATGCTTGGACCACACATGCCTGGGTCTGACTCTAGCTCTGTCACCCATAGGAGGTTCTGTGTGGTCTTGGGGAAGTTGCTTAACTCTCAATAAACCTGTTTCTTCACTCATGAATTCGAACAATATCCTTAGCTCCAGGGTTGTTCAGGGAACCCTATGAGCCAAACTCCAGGCCAAGTGTGGCTCTTACTTGGTGCTTAGCGTGTAATCATCCTTTACTATTTTTTCAGAAAAGAGCTATGATGAGGCCCAGGGCTGGGTATGGGGCCCTTTGCTTGACAGTAGTACGGTAGGGAAAGTACTGAACTCTGGGGGCAGCACTGTTTGAGGAATCCCAGAGCTGATTCCTGGGGAGGTCATCACCAGGAGGATCACAGGAGGGCTTGCTGAGTGCTGTACAGGTCAATTCTGGCCACACTTAGAGGGCACCCTCTGAGAGGTCTTCAGACAGATGGTCCGGACCCCAGGCTGGAGATGTGCATCTGTGAAGACATGAGGGGCTTTAGGAGTGGGACTGGCTAGTCTCTTGGATTCTCTCTGTACTTGTCTCTTCAGCCAGCCCACTCCTGACCTCAGCCCACTGAAGCCTTCAGTAGCTCAAGACGGCAGCAATGTTGAACACTTGGGACACTGAAGGGGCAGATGGCTTCAGATGCTTTGCTGAGAAGAGTGGGAAGTGGGGTGCTCTGCTTTATCAGAAAGACAGGCTCTTAGAGTTCTTGGTCTTTCCTCTATGTCCAGTTCTTCCTGACTACTCAGAATTTTTCTGGAAAAGAAGAAAAGCTCATGGCTGGGCATGGTGGTGCACGCCTTTAATCCCAGCACTTGGGAGGCAGAGGCAGGCAGATCTCTGTGAGTTTGAGGCCAGCCTGGTCTCTGTAGCAGATCCAGGCCAGCTAGGGTCCTCAAAAGGACAAAAAAA